TCCCGGCACCAATCACCTTCTCGGCGGCATAGACGGCCTGGCTGCAGCGGGGGCAGCGCTCGGAGCCCCCGATCTTCTGGGCAAACTTGGAGGCGTTGGGGTTGGTGGTGGGCCTGTGGCCAGGCGCCCTGCAGGAGGGAGGGGGAGGTGGGTCTGCATCGCGTGGGGAAGACCCCGCCTCCATCTCACGGGGGTGGGCAGGGGGCAGCTCTCCGAGCCCGTTACAGGGCCAGGGCCGTGGGGAGCTCTTGGGTGGTCTCCCCTGTCCCCGATGGGACACCCAGGGCCCCACGATGTTATGCTATGTCCCCGGAAACACCCTACGGCCCCGTCGCCTGGTTACCAGCGGGAATCATCTCACACCTCGTCACTGAGATCCGCCCGCCTGGTCCCCATTCCCGCCATCTGTCCGCTATCGGACTCTTTCCCGGACAAACGTGCTGACCAATCGTTTCCCCTGGGTCACGACCTGGGCTGGCACGTGGCAGCTCATTCCTCCCGCCAGTCATTTCCGCCCATCCATCCCCCGGGGCCAAGGAGCCGGCCGGGGTGACTGCGGACAGGACCACTGACAGCAGGTCCGGGGTCAGGGGTCACCGGGATAGCAGAGGCCGGCCTGGCTCAGACCCTCACTGGCTGGGGACCCCGGACAAGTCCCTGACACTGGGCTGAGTTTTCTCATCTGTGAACAGGGGCCCGGCCGGCGTGGCTCAGTGGTTGAGCATCGACCTAGGAGCCAGGAGGTCAGGGTTCCATTCCCGGTCAGGGCACACGCCCGGGTTGCGGGCTCCATCCCCAGTGTGGGGCGTGCAGGAGGCAGCCGATCCAGGATTCTCTCTCACATCAATGTTTCTCTCTCTCTCTCCCCCTCCCTTCCTTCCTCTCTCACATCAATAAAAATATACACATATAAAAAAAGGGGGACATGGGACCAAGTCCTCCCAGGGGCCCTACCCCCAGCTCTAACCGGCAGGCGCCGGCTGGCTACGTCCCCTGGGACCCCCAGCTCCTCCGATGGGCCTGGCACTTAGTGGGGGGCCCCACGAAGACCCTGGAAATCGGCCTTCGGAGCCGTCGATGCGTAACTAGCAGCGGCTGAGTGTCTGGGGGAGCGGCGGGTCCGATACTCACTCCTCGTGCCGGATGCCCAGCGACTCCCCCTTGTCGGTGCTGAGCGTGCCGGCGCCCTGCCCGTAGCCGTAGCCCTTGGGCCCGTACTTCTTGCCGTAGCAGGACCGGCAGTAGATCTCCTCGCCGTGCACGGCCACGGTCGTGCTGTCCAGGTTCTTCTTGCAGACCACTGCGGGGGGCGGGGGGACGGAGCGCGTGAGGCCCCCGCGGCTCTCCCTCGGCCCCCACCCCCCAGCCCTCGCACCTCCCAAGGTTTGGAGGAGGCCGCAGCCCAGGCTGAGCTCAGCCTCAGGGAGCCCGGGGAGGCCTTCACTCTGCCCACGAGAAAGAGATCACGTGTCCTGACAGGAGAGGAGAAAAAAGACAGGAAGGAAGAGAAGGGCAGGCTTTCCTGCTCCCAGCACTGGGGTCCGGGGGGACCATCTGTGTCAACTTGGGGGGAGGGGGTGCAGGTGAAGCCATGCGCCCCAAAGGGAAGTTTAGTATTTTTATTATTATTTTTTAAAACACATTTCCTTTTTTTTTTTTTAAAGTGTATTTTTATTGATTTCAGAGAGGAAGGGAGAGGGAGAGAGAGAGAAACAGCAATGATGAGAGAGAATCATGGACCGGCTGCCCTCTGCACGCCCCACACTGGGATGGAGCCTGCAACCTGGGCCTGTGCCCTGACGGGGAATCGAACCCTGACCACATCCTGGGCCAAGAAGAAATCGTGAGGAGCAGGAGCATTTGGGGGTGCTGACGGGATGGGGGGGTGGCGGAGTGGGAAGGGGAGGCCCTGAGCGGTGAGTGTGGGAGGTGGGCAGGACAGGGCTCTGGGAGGGAGAGCAGGCAGAGCAGAGCCGGATGGCGGGCGGGTGTCAGCAGGATCTAGAAGTCGGGGCTCAGTCCGCACGGCAGGGAGCCCCTTGAGGACCCACTGCAGGCCCAGGGTCCCCTCTGGCTGAGCTCCCGGGGCGCCTGCCGGGGAGACCCAGGGGACGAGACCCCTCCTCCGCTCGCTGCCTGCTGGGTCCTGGAATTTCCAGTTCGTTCAGGGTCTTACAGGAAGCGCAACTTCCCACCCTAGAAGGGAATGTTGGAGGCCTTGGCCTGCTGTTCCCTGCGTCCGGAGCCAAGCCCCAGGGAGGCGGCGGGGAGCTCCGTATTTGGGCTGCCCGGAGCGCTGGAATGAGGTGGGGATCTCGAGGGCAGGACGAGAGGGGCCTTATTTAGTCTGGAGTCTCTAACCTGGGGCTCAGAGGGACAGGGGCTGGCCCTTTAAAGGCAAGAGGGGGCCCTGGTTGCAAGGAGCCCAGCTATAAACCTCCTGGGAGGGAGGAGGGAGAAGGGAGCGGGGAGGGGACAGGCAGGGCTCCTCCGGTGCTTTCTGTCCTCCGCAGGAGTTTGAAGGGACAGTCTGTGGGGCACGCAGAATCGCGATACTTAAGGAATGTCCCGGAACCAAATTAACGCCGTAGGACAAGAGCTGAGGAAGCGGGTCCCCCACCGAGGAGCTGAGCATTCCTGCCAGCTGATCACATGTATTATGCACCTACTGTGTGTGAAACACCTACTGTGTTACTGTGTGCGACCACAGGAGCGCGGAGCAGGCCCCCTCCGTCCCTGCTCCCGTGTCAAAGGCTCCCTGAGTTCGTCTATTGCTTCATCCTGCCTTCCTGTCCGTCCCAGACCCAGAAAGGGAATGTAGGCGCCACGCCGAGCCCAACCCAGAGCCAAGGACCGGAGTGGTCAGGGGGACTCACTGGGGACACACTCGGGCCTGGCCAGCCGGGAGCTACGGCCCTTCACGCCAGCCCGGCCCAGGCCCAGGCCCCGCGGCCTCTCTCTTCCTTAGAAGGGAAAGTCCTGTGACTCCGTGGGTTACTCTGAATTCCTGAGCGCGAGCTGGATGCCTTTCACGGCCCGAGGAAAGCGACAGCCTCTCCATTCCAAACAGGCGGCTGAGTGCCCCGGCCGTCCTGGGCACCGGG